CCTGCTGATTCTACAGGAGGAGATACAAAAAAAAACTGGCTACATAGTAATGCGAGCTGAGGGTGTTTTTGATGTTGATGCAAATACATCCATTGATCAGCTCTCTGAAGATTTGAATATCAAGATGCCAGAGGTTTACCACTTTTTTCACATGCAACTGCCTTATTTGTCTTCAAATGGCTGTGCTTATTTTGACTATAGTGTGACTTTCTTTGTTGCACTATCTAGTCAGCTTTTCCTACTTAATATCCAAGATCACATCTTGTTATTAGTAGTATAGCAATAATTAAGTTGTTTACGAATTTGCCCTTGAGAATCATTGTAGCATTGTAGACCTATCTTTGCATCTCAAATAGGCATCTGCTCCATTGGATTTCAAGCAGCTTATGTTAATACATTACTTATGTTAGCTTGTTATTTCTACTCAAGTTGTGGGCTAAATTGGGAATATGTGCAACTGTGCAATATCTTTGGAGAAATTTATGCTGTTAACAATAATTGGGTTTCATGAATCCTGGGGTTTGGAGTTGAGACAATGATCTCATATTGAAATTAATTTTGCTTATTTTTCATATTGCTATGTCTGATTAAGAATTTCAGGCCTCTTGATACTAAGGTGACATCTACTCTTTCAGGGTCACCAATATGAGACAGTATCAGGCTTTGTGTGTGAAGCATTTGGATACATTCCAAGGACAGGTGAGTGCATCAAAGTAGTTCTTGAAAGGGAAGATGAAGATGATAGCAATGAGTCCAATACTGACCAGCAGGATCAGAAGGAGAAGAACCAGATTTTCAAACTTGAGGTAATCAGTCTGTTGCTATCTAAAAGTTTGTTTGTTTAGGTAGTCTTGCTGATTTTAGAGCATATAGTTGAAGAAGCAATTTTAGAATTCTTATAATGTGGGTTTGTGCTGAATTCAATATTATAAAACTGACTTAAAGGTAAGGACTGCCCAAGTTTTAAAAGCTTTATTTTAGACATATCTCTAGTTGATTTGAAACTAAATTATACCACCCTTGAGGTTGCGATTAAGGCAGCCCAAAGTGACCACAGCCATAATCAGCAGGCTAGGGTGACCATAATTAAGGCAGGTTTCCAACAAGAATAGTATATTGTTAACTTGTCAAATATAGAGTTTTTCCATTTTGTAGGAGGTTTCCATTTTGCATTGTTTACAAGTGATTTATTGATCAACAATTTTAGACTTACCATGTTAGCTAAAAATCCTAAATTTATAATCTAACATTCTTCTGTGCTGTATTCTTTTCTGTTTGACTGCCAAGAATCCTTGCAATTTTCTAACTTGTGTAAGCTACATTCGTAAGGTTACAAATTAACTGTTTTTCATCAATCTGTCTGAACTCTGAAGTAATTAACTGAATCTAGAGCTTCTCTGTCTTTAGAGTGGAAAACATGTGGCTTCTTTTTCTTTTGTGCAGATACTAGCTGGAAATGCCAGAAAGGTGAGTGCTGTTCGGTTTGAACGGATAAATAATAATGATGAAATGTTGGAGACTAAAGTAGCTCGCATAGTCCCAAAAATCATGAAAAGAAAATGGAGCAGCGATGAAAACTCAGAGGACGATGCAGAATATGATGGAGACACATTTGCAAAGAGACCACAGGATGAAATTCCTAGTGAATATTTAGTTGATCAGGAAATTTCTAACAGAGAATAAGTTTGTTCCATCTTTTTTTTTCCCTTTCTTTATAGCTGGCATGCTTTTGTGCCATTTTTGCAACCAACCTATAAGATGAGAAAATTGAGATACATGTACAAAATGAGAAGCAATGAGTTCAAACATGTAAAACTTTGCAAAAAGACAAATTAGAGGCATCTATGCTAACTGAAGTCTTCAAGGCTTTGGTGTAATAAAGATGTCATGTTTAATCAATCCATTAACCATCCTTTCTCCCCCACCCCACAAAAAAGAAAGGCATCTATTTTTGGATGGCCATTATTATATGGTGGTTTGGTATTTCTTTCGTCTTTCATGCTTTCCAAAATATATAAATATTTTGAGGTCATGGAGTTGTTCTTCATTATGGTTGGTGAGACAGTATAAATATAGTGAGTTGTGATGGAGAAGTGACTTGATAGCCATTTATGATTTGGTAATGTAAACTGAAGCAAAAATAATGTTATATTAAAAATTCATAATGAAATAATATTGCTAGCATAATAAAGTTGCTTAGGACTATTTGAATTAAACAGTGCAATTTACTTGTGTTTCTTCACATATTTTGAGGAAAGAATTGGTATCAAATTTTCATATTCTGTTGATAGGGAAGGATCTTTCTGTCACCAGATCAACCATTTGGAGATAAAAGATAAATGTAAAGTTTGTTGTGCAGGATGTTATGATGGATGGTATTTTTTATTTATAATACAAACACTGTTTCTATCTGTAAAGAATTCTAATCCTTATCAATTAATAGCGATCCTCAAAATTTTACTTGATCCAATCCTATTTCACTCTTAACTCCTGTTTTTCTGTCTTATTTATAAAAATACTCGAGGAAGCGTGCCTTTTCGAGGTTGTTGTCTTATTCAGTAAGAATTTGTCTGGTTTTTTTGCTTAAAAGCAACCCATGTTGGCTTTGGCCACATTTTTGTATTAAGATGTGTTAGAATTTTAGAAAAGAGAATATTTATTTTCATTTATGATATTAATATTTAAATATAATAGAAATACTGACAGTTAAGTGCGGTAATAATGAAAACTAGTGAACTTTTGTTCGAGTAGGGTCAAAGAAAAACATTTTATACATAAACTATGATAATAAAGATAGAATATTATTTGTATATAAAAAATAATAATAATATTTGTACTACATATTTTATATTTTATAATGAGGAGGAATCTGGTTACTTTAGGAATAAGTTTACCTAAACTTACTTTAAAAGAGATGTACTTCTAAGAATGTTCAAAAGTCAAAACTTTATTCACAAGTCTTTTTCCATTTTTTTTTAGGAACAATGGACATCTGGATACTACGTACGCTATATATGTGACTAAAGAGATGTACTTCTAGAAGATAACTATTTTATCAAGTGGATGATTATAATACTGTGTGTTTTTATTTATATAATTAATTACACGATTCATTGTAATTAACTATATCGATCTTGGGACCAGTTATCTCATTCTTTGAAGTGCTTTAACGTAATGAGAAGATTAATCACTGCTATCGGCAGGTGATCAGTATAAATAAATACACTCTAAATAAATACGCTAATTAACATTTATTTAGATATTAATAGGATACAAGTGAATATAATTATTGGCATTTAATACTCTTAAAATTTTCAATATAACCAGAGATTCGTTCCCTCTGTTCTGTTGGCTGTGCATTATATTTAGGGGTTGCTATTGTGTCCCAATAAATGAGGGGTTTTGGTACTGTATTTGATGTGTATGTACACATCATTTAAATGTCATGTCAGCCTTTTAAATAAGAATTATTTTGTATTTAAATTTTTATATTATTTATTTTTAAATTTTTATTAATATTTTTATAATTATACCATAGTAACCATTGTCTTCGAGCACCGTGATTTCTCCTCTCCCCTTCGTCTCCCTCCTCTACTCCCACCTCTCCCCCGCCCTTCCCTCCTCTTCCGCCCTGTTGACCTCTCTACCGTTGACGCTGCCACCAACCCCCTCGATGAGCTTGAATTCATGGACGAAACCCACTTCCCTCCCCTCTGCCTCAACCCCTCCCCCTACTTCTTCAACTCCCTCACCACGACCATTTGCTACTCCTCCCTCCCCTCCTCCTCTGCCCTCCACTACTCCCTCCTCTCCACCCTCGACCATGACCTCTCCAAGGTTGCCTTTTCCTCTGACGACATCCCCCTCGACCCCACTGTCCGCTTCTGTTTTCATTTTTAATTTTTTATTTATTTAAAATTCACGTAAATAAAAAACTTAATTGAAGTTGACGGTTTTTTTTTTCGTATCTTTCTGCATCTTTCTCACTTCGTGAAGATATATGGGAAAATGAAAACAGAATTTTGTGGACGTACTCTTCGCGAGCGAGCGAGAACAAGAACGTTACCGGATTTCTGAGTACTGGATTTAGGCAACGCCATCCTGGTTTTTCCCCTCCGCTTCCTGGTTTGTCCCCTCTTCTTCTTCTTATTTTCTTTTCGGTTATCTCACTCACGTTGGATTCAATTCCAGGAGTATTCATGGATTGTGCTTGATGTTGTTGTGAATGATTCTGCGGTATTGTTGTATATGACATGATTTGGGTGTGCTTTAACAAGATTTTTGGCGTTCTGTGAGATTATTGTTTTCCCTTTTGATGCTTGTCTGTTTTGATATTTTTATTGGCAGAATTTATATGCTTTTGCTGTCCCAAGGTGTGTAGATGATGATTATTTCAAGAATTGAGAATTTTGATCTTTTATCCATCAACTATGTTGTTTCTCAAACAAAGTAGAAAGCTACTTCCATGAGTTTACCAGGACTCAGTTTTTGAGAGCTAATATGGTTTCATTGCTACATATGATAATTTTTGGCTCAATAATAATTTATTTACTTGGTGAATATGTTTGTTTTAGTTTTTTGCAGAAGATTTTACATGCATTTGACCTAAAATATGAATCTGGACTGGACTATCCTGTAATATGTAGACTAAACATTTATTCTTTTTGGGTCATGTCTTAGGACATTTGGGAGTTCTTGTCTTTTGGGGACTGAGTTCAAGCTATGAATATGTTTTGTTTTGTGTACCTTAATAGCTTATATAGGCCTTTGTAAGAATTTGTCTGGTTTTTTTGCTTAAAAGCAACCATGTTGGCTTTGGCCACATTTTTGTATTGAGATGTGTTAGAATTTTAGAAAAGAGAATATTTATTTTCATTTATGATATTAATAAATATAATAGAAACATTGACAGTTAAGTGCGGTAAGAGCACCTCCAGCGGAGGGTGCTTAACGTATTGCTTATTCTTAAGCAACGGCCCTTATAAGAAACTCCCGTTGGACCTATCCTACATGGCAAGTGAGTTTCTTAAATTTTTTTCACAATTGCTTCTACAAGCGACGGAGCTTAGCACTGACAAGAACAATTTTATTGGTTGACATTCATCTACGTGGAACACATTTATGAAAAAGAAAAACAGAAAAAACAATGCACCTCCTGTTCGTTCGCCACCCCTCCGTCCCCCGTGGAGGAGCGGTGTCTAGTGGAGGAGGTGGCGCTGGTGGTGCCGGAGACCGACGACCCTTCACTTCCGGTGATGACCCTCCGCGCATGACTCGGCAGCCGGCAACCACCGCGTGACCAGAATGGCAGCCAGAACCACCGCAACCACCGCGAGCGCCAGAACCCCTCTGCGTGCGACCCAGAACCCCTCCGCGTGCCCCTCCGAGCGCGACCCCTCAGCCCAGACCACCTCCGCGTGCGACCTAGAACCCCTCCGCATGCGACCCAAAACCTCTCCGCGTGAGACCCAGAACCCCACGTGGCCCCTCCGCGCGCGACCCCTCAGCCCAGACCACCTCCGCGCGCCGGTCAGAGAAAAGAGAGTGAAGAAAAGTGCAGTGGGAGAAGAAAGAATGAATAGAGAGTAAGGTGGGAGAAGAGAGAGTGAAGAGAAAGAGGGGTGGAGAAGAGAAAGTGAAGAGAGTGCGGTGAGACAAGAGTTGATAGAAGTAAATAAAAAAAAATAAACGTTGAAGAGCTGGAGAGGTAAAAATTTCTTTTTATTATTAAAATTTTTGATATATTTTTTATTATGTAATTTTTTTTATTATTAAAATATGAGTTGTAAAAAAATTAAAGTGTAAAAAAGTGTAATATGAGTTGTAAAAAGTTGAGGTGCTTATAAGGAATTGTCATTGGAGTAAAAGTTGTAAAAATATAATATGAGTTGCTTATGAGTGACGTGGCATAGTAGGACCCATTTAAAGTGATAAGCAACTCCCACTGTAGATGCTCTAATAATGAAAACTAGTGAACTTTTGTTCGAGTAGGGTCAAAGAAAAACATTTTATACATAAACTATGATAATAAAGATAGAATATTATCTGTATATAAAAAATAATAATAATATTTGTACTACATATTTTATATTTTATAATGAAGAGGAATCTGGTTACTCTAGAAATAAGTTTACCTAAACTTACTTCATTCAATAACACATATTTTACGCCAAATTTTAATGATTGAATTTAAAATTCTTAATTCATAGGTCAAATTTGTAAATTTTTAAAAAAAATTAAAAATTATTTAATACTTCATTTCATTAATTCAAATTAATGTATAAAATAATTTTATGATTATTCATCAATTTAAATTAATAAAATGAAATATCAAATGATTTTCAAATTTTTTAAAAATTTACAAGTTTGATCTATGTATTAAGAACTTTAAATTCAATGGTTGGATTATTGAAATTTAATGTAAAACATGAGTTATTGAACGAAGTAAATTTAGGTAAACTTACTTTTAGAGACAAAAGTATAATGCATCCCTCCTCTTTTATAATAATGAAAAAGAAAGTGAGAAAAGTATAAGGTGTGATAAATGATATAATAGAGATAAATAATAAAAGTGGAAAAAATTTAAACCTCTCCTTGTTGTTCTTATTTTCCTGCCAAACTTATTTATCTACCAAGAAAATATTATAAAACAAAATATATATTTAAAATTTTACTATATTTCCTATAATCCAATATGCAGCTTATGAATCACGACTCGCGATGGTATATGTATTAATGTGTACACAAATTTCAGAAAACAAGAATATTGGTAAAGAATCTTAATTTGTCTTATAATTATGATATTGATACAAAATATTCCTGCTAAAAATAATGATTAATCTTAATTTGTATCTAATAGTATTTTCTTTCCATCTATATAATATTATTTGAATCATAAAATAGAAATTTAGTGATTTGTGTTTCAATAGTTTTATTTTAAAAATAAATGTGAAAAGAAACTTAATATAAAGTTCTTAACACTGTCAAATGTTAATTTGTCTTTATATATAACATTTCATTAAATGTTATTAGTTTCTATTATGAATTAAAAAAATTAAATATTCATCTTAAAGTAATTAATCGAGACCATGGATATTTAATAATATTATAATATTTGATAATAATGAATCATGATAGAATAAATAAACTTTAAAAAGCTGCGCAATGCGGAGACAGAAGTATACGTAAGTATGATTTCTAGAAGTGTCAAATTATTATCATTTTTATACAAATTAAACTAACATGCTCCTGACATGAGATTCATAACATTTCTACAAACCCACCATGGTACATACAAACAATAATGGATACAACTTTAATTTGTTTAATACACATGAATAATATAAATAACATACAAATATATCAATCACACATGTACAATATATAACTAGAGGAAATACAAAATTCAGATTCTAAGTTGACAATTATACGTATTGAAAGATGGAATCATGACATAACATGCATGGCAAGCTGATGAGGTTAGTAAGTAATTGAAGCACATAACGAATCTTTGAGTGAGCCTGCAAGCATGTTAAGTGTCTTGAATCTTCTTCGATCATGCATCATTGTCCACACTAAGTAGCTTAGCATACTTGTTCACTTTCTTTCTCAAACATGCAGTCAGCCCAGCTGCATCTATTCCTTCTCCTTTAACCATCACTCTGTCCAATTTGTTTTCCCTTTGAAAACTAACCGAACTGACACCTACATCGTAATTCAATAAATTAAGCCATGCATAACTATTTAATTTGTCATTGGAAATTTAATAAAATGATTTTCAATAAATGAACATATAACTATATGATATGATTATGATCGTTACCATCTGCCGTGGTGCATATGGTCATAATCTTCCTCTTGCATCTCTCACAGTGGAGTGGCACCTCAATTTCGATCTTTTGCTGCACCATTTTTTAAATAATTAATTAAATGGCTGAAACTTATTCATCAAAACAGAAAATTGTAGTTATAGAAGTCAACTTTGAAACTTTCTTGAGAAAACGAAATGAAGCAAATTCCTTACCCCCATGTTCTTCTCGAATTGGTGAAACAGCTTATCTAAGTTCAGATATATACTTGTTTCTTTCTTTTCTTGACTGGGAAGATGCTTCTTAATTAGTCACAAGTGATGAATAGATGTATATATATATATATATAAGAATGTGTTCAACTAATGAACTTGCTACATTGTCGCGATCCACTTTTTATGGATTAAAACGCGGTTTCCATATCGCATTATCTAACGAAATTAAGTCAACCCGCTAATGTCAACAGTCAATATATTGAATCAAGTGGATGCAAGTAATTTGGATGGAGATGCATTTCAGTATCATAATATATATATATATATATATATATATATTTTAGTACAGACAATATTTTATATTATGTTATAGATTATTCTGTTAACTACCTTTCAAATTAATTATGAGAAAAAATTTCAATACACAGAAAAAAATAAACTTTTTAAAAGAATATACATCACTAAGTTAGATTGGAATGTCACAAAACATAATTTAAATCCATATCAAACCACATGGAGTCTAATTTAAATCTTTCTCATATATT